TTAATAACATTTTACAAATTTTATAATTTGAATTTAAATGATCATAATAATGAAGATAATCTTAATACAAAACTGGACTATAAAATTAAATAACTATTTATTATTATATATATATATATATATAATAATATAATAATAATTATTATTATTATTATCATTAGATAATGATAATGATCATAATGATGATGCGCGCGCATCCGTGACTGAGGCCGATGAGGAAAGACGGTCGTGACTATATATATATTAATATATCTCTATATATATAAAAGTCAATTTCTGTCTGTCTGTTTCGCGATAAACTCAAAAACTACTGAACCAATTGGTACCAAATTTTGCATGTCGCTTTTTATAAACCTGAGGAAAATTTTCGGCTGCATTTTGATTAGTATTTTTGGCTATTTCGTTTTTTCATTTGAAAAACTTTTTTTACGCGGACTAATCCGGAATGGATTGAATACCTAAATATTGCCATTTTTTTAAGCATCGGTGGTTCAGTGGTAGAATGCTCGCCAGCCACGCGGGCGGCCCGGGTTCGATTCCCGGCCGATGCATTTTTTTAAACAATTTTTAAAACTCATTTATCTATATTAATAAAATACAAATTTCATAAGTGTTGTTCACTAAAAACTTTCGTTAGAATGCATCAATTTCGACCAAATTTTCAACATTTATGTAAAACGAGATGGAGCAGGTTTTGCTTAACATCAAAATATTTTTCCTAACTTGAACATGCGTAACTTCGCTGTTATCGATTAAATACAAAAAAAAATCAACAGAGTTAATTTTATTTATATATATATATAAATACAAAAAAATTTCAGCAATTCATTCAACTCAATCTAAAAAAATATTCAAAACAAGCAATTTTAAGATAACACCATATGTAAAACAGTCGGCCAAGAAAACAACAACGATATTACATCTTTCTCACATATTCACACACAATCTTGATTAATAATTAAAACTAATCTTTAACATTGCTTATTATACTTCATAATATATAATATTCGTTAGGCAAACTTTCACTCGGATAAAACCCGGGCGAAGCCGGGTACACATCCGCTAGTATTATATATAATATAAATATATATTATTATATCAACTATATTAATTAAATCAAATACTAAACACTAATATAATACAATTTTTGCCATCACACACACTTTTTTCCTGTAGTTTATGTGTTACTTCTGTATTGCTATTCTATGGCACTTCTAATATTTATTATTGATATACTTTTAGTATGAAGGAAATTGCACCCAAAGGATTTCTCGGGCGAAGCCTGGTCATTCGCCTAGTCTATATATATAAAATTGAATGTCTGTGTGTCCTCTATGGATTCAAAAACCATACATCCAAATCGCCGTGAAATTTTGGGATATTATTAGGAATATCCCCGGAAAGGTTTACGAAAAATAATTTCTTGAATATCTTTAATATCCTTAGAGTTATTTGCAGATTTGTAGCTTTAACTCGCAAGCAGCGCCACCTTGCGACGGAGATAGGCTTAGGTCTGCCTTCCCCCCCCCCCCCCCCCCCCCCCCCGTCGTCCGGCCGGTCAGTCCTAGTTCCCACCGACCAATCAGAGAGGGATCAAGAGCCCCCCCCCCCTTCCGGCCACCGGCCAATTAGAGGGATCAAGAGGTCCTGGCGCGCGGGGGGCGGGTGACCTCCGGGAACTACGTCCATCTTCCATAAACGACCATGATTTTATTGTACTCTATAGGTTCAATAACCATACATCCAATCGCCGTGAAATTTTGGGATATTATTAGGTATATCCCCGGAAAGGTTTTCGAAAAATAATTTCTTGAATATCTTGAATATCCTTAGAGTTATTTGCAGATTTGTGGCTTTAACTCGCAAGCAGCGCCACCTTGCGACGGAAATAGGCTTAGGTCTGCCCCACCCCCTGTCGAGAGAATGTAATCGTCCGGCCGCCGGCCGGATGGACAGTCCAAGTACCCACCGACCAATCAGAGGGGTCAAGAGGTCCTGGCGCTCGGGGGCAGAGTTGGTGACACAGCTGTCCCAAGTAGACAAGAAAAAAGCCTCACGGGGGCTTGCCCAAGATGACCTCCGGGAACTTCGTCACTCTTTCATAAACGACCATGCTTTTATTCAACTTATCGAGTATTTTTCAAGGGGCCGGAAAAAAATGTTCACTAGATAAAACGATGATTTTGTAATGTAGAAAATTAGGAAAGACAAAATTCAGGATGACACAGCACACAGGGACCGGGAAAAAATGATCACTTTATCGAGATATTCAAATTTACGAGTTTTAAATTATCAAAATATATCTATTATTTTTTTATAAGTTTATAGAGAATTGTTTTAACAAATGTTCGTTAGACAAACCTTTACTCGGGTAAAACCCGGGCAAAGCCGGGTACATCCGCTAGTATATCCCTATATATAGTCACGACCGTCTTTCCTCATCGGCCTCTGTCACGGATGCGCGCGCACAGGGAGGTCACGTGCTCGCCGGCAGCCAATAAAAATTTAAAAAAAACTCCCTCGAGCCGGATTTGAACCAGCGACCTAAGGATCACCGTTGTAACATCTACAGTCCTCCGCTCTGCCAACTGAGCTATCGAGGGATACAAACTGTATGAATAAGTTTACCTTATAAAGTCAACTGATCCTATTTCTACACAAAATGTACTCATACATATATTTATACACAAAATGTACTCAAAAATTAATTATATTATTATTATTATTATTATATATATATAGTCACGACCGTCTTTCCTCATCGGCCTCTGTCACGGATGCGCGCGCACAGGGAGGTCACGTGCTCGCCGGCTCCCTCGAGCCGGATTTGAACCAGCGACCTAAGGATCACCGTTGTAACATCTACAGTCGGGTAAAACACGGGCGTTGCCCGGGTTTTACCAGATTAAATGCTTTTATTCAAATACTATTTGTTACAATAATAAATTGGCGCCGTGGATGTCATTCTTGTGAAACGTCCCGCTCCAAACTTTGT